GTTCTGCAGAGAGTTGATGATGCAGCTAATGACTCTCAGGTCTTTTACATACAAGGCGACAAATTCTGTGGGGATCAGAATAATTCACGTTGAAACTTTGACTTTCATGTCGAACATCGTAGTTGGACGAGTTCGAACGGTTGCTTCATTTTCTCTGCCTTGACTTGTACGCGGCATGGAAACAACTGAGAACAAAGAGAATAAATTAGATGGAAAAAAGAGGCACAAACAACCTCCTTTCATCCATCCTGCTGTATTATAAAACACAGAGCCCTGGCTGCTTTTGTTTTATTTTTTCTGTTAGACATATTGCATATTTTCTCATCAATACAAATGTATTTTATTTGGTTTAGTAAATAACCGATGGGCTGGAAACAGAAAAAAAAGGCTTATTTGCCTCTGAACACAATGAGACTTTTTTTAAAGTATACAAACCCAGCAGGATTTTTAATGAATTCATTTGTTTTGTATGAGAACTAAATAATCACTGACTTTTGCTGTGCTTGTTGTACACATTTAACTGAGTAATTGGACCTTTTATTTTCTAAATAAGATATTTTTGAAGGCAATAAATATTGCTTTCATTATATACCAAATTACGTTGCAGTTCAGAGGCTGCATTGATTGTGAGCTTAAAACACATCATCCTGTGGCAGGTAGTGGTTTATGATGCTTCAACCGTCATAAGGGAAAAAAAGAAGTTATAATTCTCGTGGATGATGCGTTGTTGAGGTTGATGTGCCTTGGAAAGGTCTAAACCAGAAGAAGTCTCCTCCGTTGTTCCATCTGCACCTGAGCAGTGAAAGTGCTGATTGAGGTCTACCCCGCCCATCTTTCATTCAGAGCTGACCGGCTGGGTTTCCCCACATTGGTCCGTCTGAACAGAGCTAAGTGAAGAGCTGGCACACAGCTCAGTTTAATCTCCTTAAGTATTCACTCCCACAGTCACGTCAACAAGTCAAGTCTGTCAAAGTGATCAGTTCTGCTTTTGCACATTTCCCAAGGAGCCGTGGTCCCTGCAAGAGGGGGGAACAGGAAGCTGGGAGTTGGCTAAAAGACTGTTTGTTGCTTTCAATGATTCATTGGTCCATTTATGAAGCAGATTTAAAAACATGACAACTTGGAGTCCTGCCATCAGAGTCCGGTGCTGGAGAAATAAAAAAAATGTTGAGGGGTATTGTAAGGCTCTCCACAGCCAGAGCCTAAACTGGAGTTGCAGTTGATCAAAACGAATAAAAACGAAGCCACGCGGGCTGCGGAGGCTCGCCACAAAAACACTTCAGTCATTTCTTTTCCACAAAGGAAGAATCAGAAACAAATACTTACATTCACCTGTTGGAGCTAACCAAACAGCTTTTTTCTTCTAGCTCAGGGGTCTGCAACCTTTATGATCATCAGAGCCATTTCTGCTCCTTGTCTCACTAATAAAATGTTTCCAGAGCCACAAAACAAGCTACAACTGTGATTATCAACTGGTGGTCCATGGGCATTTTCGAGGCCTTTTTGGGAACCTTTATGATCAGTGGAGGTGACATTATAAAACTAAAGGAATACTGTTATTATTATTATTATTATTATTATTATTATAATACACATCAGGACAAATAAAAAGATCATATTCATGTAAACAAGAAAATACTGTAGTTTATACCAAATTTTAAAAAAACTAGTAGGACTGAACTATTCAGGCATATCTCTTTTCAAATTCTTATTATGTAGTCTTCAAATTATTTAAAGATAATTCTGATGGATTTGAGAGAAAGATCATAGAAATAAATCAGAATCTTTAAGTTAACAACAGGCTAGCATGAGCTAATATGTTTTACTTTTTGTATTAGTGGTATTAATCACATGTTTGCTTACAAATTGATTTCTGTTGTGGGTATAAAAACAAACAAAAGAAATCTGTTATGTTTCGTCACATTTTCAGAGAGCCACTGCAGAGGGACCAAAGAGCCACATGTGGCCCCAGAGTCGCAGGTTGCAGACCCCTGTTCTAGCTTATCCATTTCAGTGAAAGTACATATAAAATTGTGCTGAATGAGTGATGTGTGATAACAGTGCTTAATATTGCGATGACGATATGACTTGTGATAAATGAGCAAATACATAAGTATGTAGTGTTGATATCTTTCTGCTCTGGGTTCAGCATTACCATTCCAGCAGGATTTCTTTTAAATATGAAGAAAGGGTTCCATTTGATTGGTGAAAAACTTCAAGCTTCCATCTGAGTGACAAAACATATAAATGCAAACTTTTGAGCCAACCATTTCTTTCAGTTTTTTTTTTTTTTTGCGATATACATATTGCATTAATGACTTTTTCGAGATATTGTGCAGCCCTGTAAAGGTATGTTACAGAAAAAAGAGGAAAACAAATTTGCCAAACTCATCTTTCAAAGGGACACTGCTTGGAGTCTAGAAAATTGGTTCTTCTTTGGTCTTTTTTGGTGTTTATGGTGTTTTGTGTTTATTTCTGCAGATGCAATTCAGGCTGTTAGTAGTTATCAGAGGTGACAGACTTTAAATGAAATGTGCAGCATGGAAAACCTATAAAGGAACTGTATGTTTGTGAGTTTTGGTGCTTCCTGCTTGGTTAGCTCTGT